GGCCGCCAGGATCCAGGGCCACTGCCCAGCTCCGCCGGCTCCCCGCGCGCCCTGCCGCCTGCGCTCGCGGATACGAAGTGACAGGCCTGCTCCCACCCTCGTGTTTCCAGGTCCCCCGCGCTCCCGGGGCACACCCGCAGTCTCATTTTCCTTCTAAGACCCAAGGGCCCTCACGGTGGTGACCCTGTGGCCCTTGCTCCTGTTTCCCCTCTTGGGCACTCCGGTAGGCGCTCTGGCTCTCACCCCGCCGCCTGGGGTGAGGCAAGGAGACCGGCTCTTCCCTCTTTCCGGCCTCGGTGTCCCGTCTTCCCCTTTGGTCCTTCTGTCCCCTCTAGAGTAAGTGAACCCAGGCGTCCTGCCCAGCCCCAACGGCCTAGTGGAGGACGTGGGGGGATTGAAGCTTGGGGGAGAGTTCTGAGCCGCCGCGGAACCGCGTGGGGTTGGCGCGGCGCCAGGCACTCCCGGGTTCACCTGCAGTTTAATAAGCGGGAGGTGAGCTGGGGGGACTGGTGGAGGAGAGGTTGGGGGGGGGGGAGACTTGCTGGGGCTAGCCAGGCGGGTGGGGGCGCCCAGGGCCAGGAGGGGGCAGGACAGTGGCTCCTGGGTTGGGGGTGGGGTTGGGTGGCTGGGTTCCTTGGGCTTTAGAATAGCGCCCTAGCTCAGTAGCTTCTGCTCCCCAAGTTGGGACACTTCATTTCTACCTCTCATTCCTCAGAGGGCACTCTGGGCTTCTGAACAGGGACTGCCACTGCCCTTCTCCTCAGGGCCACCACTGTGCCCCTCCCTCCTCCTCCCTGGTCCACCTTGACCTGTTAGGCTAAAAGCAAACCAAACCAAAACGAAACAAAACACAACAAAAAACCCAAACTCACTGTCTTCCAGTTGATTCAGACTCATAGTGACCCCCATTTGGTTTCCAATGAGGTAAATACGGAATTCCTTGCAAAGAGCAGCTGGTGGGTTTGAACCACCAGCCTTCTGATTAGCAGTCAAATGCCTTAAGCACTGTGACACCAGAGCTCTTCTATTACCTCTCACGCACTGCCATGGAGTCCATCCGACTCATAGCGACCCCTCCTTGGGTTTCTGAGGTGGTATCTCTAGGGGAATAGATTGCCCAGTCTTCCTTCTGAGGAGTGGCTGGTGGGTTTGAACCGCCAGCCTTCTGGTTAGCAGTCAAATGCCTTAGGCCACCAGCTAAATTTGAATCCCATAAGTCTACTCTTGGTGGCAGCCAGTTCCTGGTCTGGGTCCTTTCCCCAGTCTCCCATCTTTTCAAAGCATGGATTGTTCATTGTGGGATCAGGTGACCTCAGTATCCCTTAAGTGCCAGCTCTCTTCTGACCCAGGCTGCTGATAAGGTTCTCTCTCACTTTAAAATGGTACTTTCAAAAAATACCAAACTCACTGCCCTTGAGTCGGATCTGACTCATAGCGACCCCTCCTTGGGTTTCCGAGGTGGTATCACTAAGGAAGTAGATTGCCCAACCTTCCTTCTGAGGAGCAGCTAGTGAGTTTGAACCACCAGTCTTCTGGTTAGCAGTCAAGTGCCTTAGGCACTACACCACCATTCAACATTTCCTGTACATTTGGTTTCACTCCCCAAATCATTCCCAACCCTAACCCACTCCCCTCCTCTCCCTTTCCAGTAACCCCCCCCTCTCTGTGCCTTTCTTAGTTATGCACTCCTGTCTGTCTACCTTTTCCTCTGTGTGAATGTTGCCCCTGTCATGCCCCATGGCTGATTGCTCCAAGGGATGTATCTCCATAGAGTAGGTGGGTGCATCGCCCTGGGTTGGGTGTTCTGCATGTAAGTCTTATTTACCGTTGGGCTGAGAGCCAGCCCTTGGGAGTGAGTTTTATCCCGGGTCTGAAGTGTATCCCAGGGCCATAGTCTTGGGGATCCCACCAGACTACACCTGACCAGTAATTCTGGTAGTTATTGTGTTTTTGAATTTTGTTCCATGTTTTTCCTCCCATTCTATCTGGGATCTCCAGTTTTGATCCCTTCCCAAGTGGTTGGCATTGGTCGCCGGGCACCATCTAGTTCTTCTGATCTCAAGGTCCATCATGTCCTAGGGCTGATTGTTCCCAAATGCCCTGATTTTCTTCATTCTTCTTCGCTTCCGACGATAGGAGACCATTAGCTGCATCTTAGAAGGCTTCTCGAAAGCTTTTAAGACCCCAGACACTACTCACCAAAGTAGGTTGTATAACAAGATTTATATGTATTTTTTTGTGCCAATTGAGTCTGGTGTCCCCCAGTACTATGGTCCTGAGTCAGCAGACCCAGTGGCTCTCTCTCCCTCAGTGTCTGGCTGTCTATGAGGGATTGCTCTATGTCTGTGTTCTGTTGCTTCTGTAATGATTGTGAGTATTTTGTATCACTAGTATCTGTGCAGGATTAGCCTCCTCTGAATCTATCATTGGTCTGGAGTATATTCCTATTCACTGACTCCCATCTGATCTTCTCAGTTGTCTCTGTGTTTATATGTAGAACAGGGTTCTCTTGAATGTGGATTCTGCCTTATTTAAAATGCACAGACTGCCTCTCTTTTTCCTCTTCCAGGACACTGTCTAGAGACATTCAGAATGGTCCAGCGTCTGACTTACCCTCAGCCTCTAACAAAACTAGGCTGTCCCGAACCCCTGGTAATAGAATTGTTTACCTTTATAGCAAAAATGTTGGTGAAGCACCAAAGTCTGCATACAGTGTGTGCCCACGCCGACTTTGAGGAGTTCGGGCTGTGAGACCTAAAGTTCTCACGAGATTGTCCAGGAAAACAAACAAACAAACATGTCAGCAGAGCCTATGGTGGTTCCATGTGTGCTCAATGTGTCCGTGACAGGATCAAGCACGCTTTCCTTATTGAGGAGCAGAAAATCGTTGTGCAAATGTTGAAGGCACAAGCAAAGAGTGAGAAATCTAAATAATAATAATAATAATAATGTACCTTTTTGAATAATAATAAAATCAAGTTGTTTGTTCTATTAAAAATAAACAAATACATAGAGTGCTCACACTACTGGGAGGAGAAGCTACCATGAGCCTTCCATCTTAATGCTATTGATTCCTTAATGCTGTTGTTAGTTGCTATTGAGTCTATTCCACCTCACGATGCTCCATGTGTGCTGAGTGCTCCACAGGCTTTTCAAGGCTGGGATCTCTCAGAAGCAGATGGCCAGGTCTTCCAAGGTGCCTCTTAGTGGCTTTGAATTGCCAAGCATTGGGCTAGTAATTGAGTGCTTAAAAGTTTGCAACTCCCAGGGACTCCTCTTAGTACTCCTGTTGTTAGGTGCCCCTGAGTCTGTTCAGACTCATAGCAGCCCTGTGTACAGCAGAACGAAACCCCTCTGTCATCCTCATAATCATTGCTATGTTTGAGTCCATTGTTGCAGTCACTAAGTCAATCCATCTCATTGAGTGTCTTTCTCTTTTTCAATGACCCCTCTACTTTACCAAGCATGATGTGCTTCTCCAGGGACTTGTCCCTTTTGATAGCATGTCCAAAGTACGTAAGACAAAGTCTCGCCATCTTCAGTTCAAAGGAATATTCTGGCTGTACTTCTTCCAAGACAGATTTGTTCATTCTCTGGCAGTCTGTGGTATATTCAATATTCTTCGCCAACACCGTAATTCAAATACATCAGTTCTCCGCTCTTCCTTGTTCATTGTCCAGCTTT